GGAGAGGCTAAAGCAGAGTTGCCTGAAGATTCAATCTCCCCATGTTGTCTTACAAACATGGACCCTGCTTGATTCCTACTCTGTAATCCTGACTCATACTTGTCCCTCTGTCTCCAGTGGAATTTCTATTGCTCATCTTAAGGACAAACAACTGTATCTACCTCTAATGTTTACCTCAGACACTTGTTTTAAATTCCGATTCCTCCCCCTTCCCCACACCTGTGGTTGACTTCTCAATGACTCTGAAACCTGAGAAAACCTGGAAGTAGAAATGTATCAGGAATAGAAGGAAGATTCATGAGTACCCTTGAGTTGTCCACATGACAACACATTAGCAAGATTGCTGACATTTAAATTTGTTAGAAAAGGGAATTCAAGGACAGTGTGGCAGCCTGTGGATGCTGTGTAGTAGCTTAAGTAGAGGATTCTTTGTTCTTGTTTTGTTTTGTGTTTTTTGTTTTTTTGTTTTGTTTTGTTTTGTTTCTCCCAGAGAAAGATTTCAATCTGTGATGTTACTCAAAGCTCCGCTCCCTCTGCCTGAACATTGGCCACTGTGCATGACACCCTGCACTACTGGGAGAAGACTGAAGCTGTAGGTCACATATACTCATAGGGTTTGAACTGCTTTACCTTTTTCTGTGTATTAATCCTTTAAATGTCAGCGTTTTAATGTTGGCCTTTTCAAAAGATATGATACCACATAAACCTTACTTAATTGAAAATACATTTCTAGTTCAAAGGTTTCAGTTTTGTTGTTTTCCTGAAACTGTTGAAGGCTATCAAAAAAAAAGAAGGTGTTTAAGGAAGGAAGCTTGATCTTGCCAGTTGAATCTAAACGACATTGTTCCTAGAAATTCTAAACTGTCATTCCAAAGGCCCTTTCTTTTCATAGGACTTTGTAAATGCAGACATCATCTCCTGATGATACAGGAGAAACTTAGAACAATAGATCAAAGTAAGATTTTGAGGGATGTTGTATGCCTTTTACAGCCTCATTTTCATATTAAGTCAGCAGTTATTTATTTGCATAGCACTTTATACACCACTATTTATGTGGCTTTTATAGCAACCCATTGAGTTAAGATACAAAAGTGTTGTTAGGCTCATTTTGTAGCCTAACACAGAGAGTTACTAACTAACTAACTAACTAACTAACACAGAGAAAACTAACTAACACAGAGAAAAGCTGAATGATTTGTATGAAGTCATATAACTTGTTAATGGTGACTATGATTCAAGGCTGAGTGAGACCTGCTTTAGCCACAGGGCTAACTCTCATCTACAAAAATGATTAGGAAATCCTGAGACAATGGTTTGTGATCTCACAACTATAGCTTCCTGGCTGAGGTAACCTTCAGTATACAATGAGGCCTTTCGAGACTTCACGTTCATCTATTAGGATGATGAACATTGTCTACTCTCCTCTCCAGGCTAATGTTCTACAGAAATGCTTTGATAGAGCAATGCCTCAAGATAAGAGTGTATTTTCAATAAAAACAAGCAAGCAAGCAAAAAGGAATAATTATCATTATGACAAGTAATTCTAAGTGTCATGTCTTATCAGGTGTCAGGAAAGTTATTTTTCATTCGTTCCCCAACTTAGCAAAGGAACTAGAAATAGAGAAGATATTTCATGGTCCTTGAAGACCTAGAAAGTGATCTTTAACCATACCAGATAAGACCATTAATAAAACCTTCCAACTAACAATATTTTGGTTAACTGAAATTGGTAATGAAACAACTATTATTTTTAAGCCTTGAGAATTTGATTGTTGGTGCCCCTTTGCCTTGGAGAGTATTGTAAGCATACTATTTCATTGTTACAGAGATGCTATTATAGCAGGCAGATGCTCTCAACCACAGGAGGAAGGCAAGTGAGCCTCAGCATCCAAGGCAAGAACAGGCAAGCACTAACTCTTCTCCATTTAGCACTGCCCATTTTTTTTTTTTTTTTTGCAGGGTGATGTGCAGCGGACACTCATCCAGGTGGACTTTGGGGATGGCATTGCAGTGTCTTATGTCAACCTCAGCTCCATGGAAGACGGAATCAAGCATGTCTATCAGAATGTGGGCATTTTCCGAGTGACCGTGCAGGTGGACAACAGTCTGGGGTCTGACAGCGCCGTCCTGTACTTACATGTAACTTGTATGTTATTACTGTTGTTGACTTATGACATATCTTGAATAGTGTGCCCTTTTAAAAATCCAATGTATACTGCCCTATGTTTGAAATTAATGCAGATGCCAGCTCAATCACTGCCAGTAAAGAATTTCTCTCCCATAAGATTAGAGCTACATTAATAGGAATGATCCCCTTAGTCATTCTCTCGTTTAAAAAAATGTGATTCCTGGGTTTTGATCGGTAAGTGACCTTTTATTTGGGAGAAGATGATCTAAAGAGAAAGATTATATAATGTAAAACATTCACTATATTGGGAATCAGATTTGAGACTCCTAAGTTCCTGCCCCAATAAAGAATTTAAAGTCGTAAGTCACAAGGTAAAATAATAACTTCTAAATTAAATTGAGTGAGCTGGTGGCATAAGGATTTGTAGATGTGAGGTTTCCCACAATGGTTCCAGGACTTGCATTGTTATTACAAAAAATACTTTATGTTAAAGTGGAATATGCTGTTTTTGTATAAATTGCCTTGTTCAAATGTCAAGTTCAAGGCCAACGTGTTAAGGATGGGAATTTCTTCATGCCTCTACCCTGCACCTGGCCCAAGGAAAGAAACTGAATGGAGAATGTCCCAACAAGAACATTTCTCTGTAGTGGTCCAGTGAAAGGGTGAACCTCTTTAGGGATGGCCAGCAGACTGTATGACTGATGATGACTTGTCTGCGCATGTTTTGCATGCGTGGGTGTGTTTAAAGGACACATTCCCTTCTCTGGTTCTGAACAGAGTTGGACCAGACTCCCTTTGCTTACCCAATCTTCCTCTTTTTGGTTATGTTGATTAAGCTCCTGATGTGTATTCCAGTCAGGCTTTGCACTATGCACCACTCTTTATGTGCATTACCTCAGTTCTGAAAAATATCCATGAGGTAGGTATGGTTAGAACCCATGCTTTCCTAAGTCTCACAGAGCTCAAGTCAATTATTTAAAGAGTCTGACTCATGTCCTCATGGTTGTAGGCTCTATAGTCAGGTGTCCATGCCTCAACTCCTGATCCCTAAAGTGAGTGACAGTGATGAAGTCGGCCTGGGTAGCCCCCATAAGCAATCCTCTCCTTTCACATATTTCCTGACACAATGGGAGTTCATGCCATGTTACATCAACTCCTATCTCTTCTACTGCCTATCAGAACTTGAGCTTCCAGTACAGGCTAAGACACAATATCTTCTACCTACTATGCTTATGGGAAGAAAAATGATGACAGGCTTGGAATAATCTTAAATTTTTCAAAACTGTACCACAAACAATATCAGTAACAAAACAATTTGCCAGTGAAGTACAGTATATTTGTTAAGATTATATATATATATTTGTTAAGATTGTATATATATAATTATATTTTATTTATATATTTATATATATTATATAAATTTATATATATATAAAATCTTACCACTTCTCATAGTGAGGCTGTGATTTTTTGCTGGAGGGGTATCATCCCTAGGAATTGCAACTGCATTCCGTGTCTAACAAATTTCACATTCATCTTCCGTCCTGACTGTCAGTTACAGTTTCTTGTCCACAATTTCCAAGGATCTCCCATCTAGTCTTGTGACTCAACCTTCTTATACCTTGGAGATGCTTCTTCATTCATAATTGATCATGTTACTACCTCTCCTCAGGACCCAAGGTTTACCAAGCCCTGAAAAGGTATATAGTCTTCACCTCTAGCCAAGAAATTAAGGATTGCTAAAGCCTTTGCTTTTTTT